TTATTTAAATGAATTATAATCTTTTGATATTCTTGACTTGAAATTTATTTTGTATGAATCAAGACTTTTTACTATTTGATCTTCTATAAATCTTTCATTTTGCTAATGACTAAGATGGATATTTATCCAAATAAATCATGATTTCGGTATTCACGACTTGAGTTTTTTTTGTATGAATTAAGACCTTTTACTATTTGATCTCCTATGATTCTTTTTTTTTATTATTGGAGATATTTATTCAAATGAATCATGATCTTTCACTTGACTTCTCAGTATTCATGACTAGAGATTTATTTTATATGATTCAAGATATTTTATTATTTGATTTCCTATGATTATTTCTTTTTATTATTTACTAATGAGAAGATTTATCCAACCAAATCATGATCTGTTACTTTATTTTTCAGTGTTTATAACTTGAGCTTTATTTTGTATGAATCAAGACTTTTTATTATTTGATCTCCTGTGCTTCTTTCTTTTCGCTAATGATTAAGAAAGAGATTTATCCAAACAAATCATGATCTTTCACTTAATTTCTCGATGTTTATTACTTAAGATTTATTTTGTATGAATCAAGACATTTTACTATTTGATTTCCTATGATTCTTTCCCTTTGCTACTTACTAAAGAGGAGATTTATCCAAACAAATCTTGATCTTTCAATATTCATGATTTGAGATTTATTTTGTATGACTCTTTTGTATTCATGATTTGTATACTCCATTTTATTGATGAAAAAGAAGAATAAGTAATTTATATTTGTATTGATGACAAAACGAGAAAAATAGTGATTCATGCCTAGCTTATGTTGAACAATGAGACTTATGATGCTTTTATATTTTTTTATTACTAGTGACTTATGCCTAACTTTTGTTAATTAGGTTTTTAAAACTTGATTGAATATTTGAGCTTGCAATGATAATATCAAGATTGAATTTGTCTCATCTTGAATTCAAGAGTACCATTGAAAAGGTTTTATTTTAAATTCAAGTTTATCACATTTTTAAATGACATATACATAAGGGGAGTCTTGTTAAGAGTCCATCATCAATTGACCTCTTGATGTTCGTGAACTGATCTTTGATATTAAGATTCTTTATATTATAATACTAAAGTAATTTTTATTTTTATACAATTGAAACATTAATACAAAGGGAGTGAAGTAGTACCATCATACTATGATATCACATCATACCATGATATCACTCTTTTTTTTGCTGATGATAAAAAAAGAGAAATAGTAACTTATATTTTTTATTACCAAAGGGGGTGAAGTATATTTTTGTTATCAACTAAGGGGGAGAACTTGTGACTCATGCATGAATAGGAAGAATTATGATATCTTATTATTTTTTTATTATGCAAATGGTTAACTTATAGGTATATTTTGATTGATATTACACTTTGATAATTGTTAAAATTTAAAACTTGAAATGATTATGATTTTTGAAACTTGATTCAACATTGATTTTTAGGCTTGAATGATTGAATCATAATATCAATAAGATCAAATTTCTTTTAACTTAAATTTAATATATGTATTTAAAATGATACATGATCATTTGAATTCAAGTTTATTATAACCTTTTAAAATGATATATAGGCTAATATACTTTTGAGATAAGTGGCGTAGTAAATATTTTGATCATGGACTCAAACCATCAATGAGCGAATTGTCAAAGTAGGAGAATCAAACGTTGGACTGGAAAAATATCATGTTAGAAATTGGACATCGGGTTGAAGAATTAGTCGATGTGCCAAAGATTAGACTTTGTGCTGTGAGTTCGAACATCATGTCGAAAAGATAAGATATTTCACCAAAAGATCGAATGGTGTGAAAAAGTCAACATGCCAATAAATCGAGTGATATGCCAAAGGAAATGACAATGTGTTAAAGGTTTGGACGAAATGCCAGATGATCAGATGGCATGCCTAAATGCTAGACAATATGCTGAAAGCTTCATAATTATGTTGGATATATAGTTAAATTTGTAAAGTCTTGATCGAAATCTTTTTGGGTCAAATTGAGTTGGTATTAGGTCAAAACCATGCTAACTTATCAAGAAACCCATTAGGCTTGAATCAATGTTGAATTAGGCTTGTTAGAAGACCACATCGATAACCTAAAGTAGGCTTGGGCTATGGTACTGCCAGGCCTAGGTAGTAGTACCACCTAAGTCAATCGAAAAGTATTGTTTGTACTTTTTTGGTGATTTCGGTGATAGTATCACCTATGCTAGTGGTAGTACCGCCCAAGGCAATAATAGTACCACCTAGGCTAGTGATGGTACCACTAGAGCTTAGATTCTTAGTCCCATGATAGTAATAGTACCAATCAGTGTTAGCGGTAGTACCATTAGTACCCAACATTTTTTGAATTTAAATTTTTGACTCCATTCTTGAAACCTTTTGGGGTCTATAAATATCTCACTCATGCTTACTTGATGGAGCACTAATTTATAAGCATAAAAGAATTATAAACTCTCATTGAGCATTGTTTAAGTCTCTTCCTCCTTGAGTTTAGAGGTGATTCTGAGTTATAGGATGTGAGGTCTCTTGTAAAAGAGTAAGTATAAAGGTTCTCTCCTAAGCTTATTAAAAGGAGAAGAGTTATAACCAAGATAGTCGATATTCACCCGTTGGAAAGAATATCGATAGTGAAAGTCGGTGGCCTTGAAGGAAAAAGAATCAAGAGTAAACATAGGTCAAGACGACTGAATCCCTATAAATCAATTTATATTTTTTTCTCTTGCCTTGATTTGCTATTGCATATTGATTTATTTGCTAGCAATCCTTACTCATATTTTTTATACTCATTTGTCGATCGAACTTTTAAAATACGAAAAAATTTACTATAGCACTAATTTACCTCCCTCTTAGTATCATTATGATCCTAACATAATCTTCTTTTTATATATAAATATCTTCTAAAATTAATGAATCAGCTTTAAGAGATTTAAATTATACTCGTTCCAATTATCAAACTTGAATAACTTATTTATCATCAAGAATCGTATTGAAGTTTACAGTGGAATTAAGATGGACATGAATTGTAACATTAATAGATGTCTAACTAAAGCCTTTGTAAGTCATCTCAAAATTTTTAGTAGCATTTGTTATGCTCATAATCCTGCTGAAGAAGATCAAATTTGATAAAAAGAGTGAGATGTATTTTTGTCGGCTATAGCGTGAATACTAAAGGGTATATATTGTATAATGTTGAAACTTGTTCAAAAAAATATGTTGCAAAATTTAATATGACAAATTGCAAGGCTGCTTATACTCCTTTGATAGCCAATGAAAAGTTGAAGAAGGCTGATGGTGCAAAAAAAAAAGTTGATGCTTCAGTTTATAGAGCTTAATTGGAAGTCTTTTGTATTTAATTGCTGACATTATTTTTACTGGAAGTTTACTGTCAAGATTTGGTGCAGCTCAAAAAGTGCTGAGATTTATTTAAGAAACACTTGACCATGGTATGAAAAGGCAGCAAGAAATTCAAGATTGGTTGGTTATTCTAACAAGTGATTGGGCAACAAGCATTGATGATATGAAAAGCACATCAAGTTATGATTTTTCTCTCAGATCTGGAATTTGTTCTTGGATTTCTAGTAAAACACTGTAGCTCAATCTTCAAGTATATTACAGTTGACAAAGCTACTTCTCAAATAATATGATTGAGAAGAATTTTTGAAAATATTGGAGAAAAGCAAGAAGGAAACACTGATCGTTTTGTAACAATAAATCTGCAATTGCAATGGGAAGAAATCCAAAGTATATAACAATCTAAGTATTATTTTATCATAGAAGCAGTGAAGGATGGTGAAGTTCAATTACAACACTGCAACACTCGAGACCAACTCGTAGATCTCTTCACCAAAGCTTTGCCAAACGAAAGATTTTACTATCTCAAAGAGCTAAGTGCATTAGGGGGGAGTGTTGGAGACCACGGCACTTTGGAAACTTAAAACAGAGTATTAATGTAAATATTTATTCCTACTGCATTCCAAGAATACTTTTCATTTTCTAAAACATCTTTTTGTTTCCCATGAATGTCCTTAATTTTCTGCTTACATACATACATGAACTTTATGTATGTATAAATAGATCATATGTGTAAGCATTATGCATCAATTTTATACTTTGAAAGTTTTCTCTTTCTTGTCAATTATTGTTGAGCTTTGCTACAGCAACTTATAAACTTGATGTTCATTTGTGGCTGACGTGGCTTCCTTATCGCTTCCGCCAACCGCAACTGACTCCCATCGTCTCATGATCGGTGAACAGAGCCATTGAAATTGGACTCCATGTGAATTGTGATAGCTCTAGGAGGTGATGCTTCATTAGCAAATTGGTCTATTTACCCTCTTCACATGCTACGCATGAAGAAGCCACGGGCCATCGGCAGCGCCCACCATGTATTGTCTTCATGGAGAGGCCAACAACCACGTCCGCGACGAGTTTGTTAAGGAGTCGTCATCGAAGTCATGCGACGGCGACGTGTATCCTTCGTCCTGGATGATACCAAGCATGAGCTTCCGCGCCGGAGGCCTAAGAATCACCTCCCATGGCCCCACCGACGCAAGCCCCAGTGCAAGCAGCAAGCAGCCCACAGGCTCCGGGGGACGACGACATCTGTCTGCGTCGTGACTTGTCCCTTTGAGATCCGCCACCACCAGGCGGCGACAACTGGGCGTGCAAACTCCCCACCCCCCACTTCGCGACGTCGATCCAGGTGAGCCATCCAATGGCGTGGCGGAAGCCCACGGGGAACCCTTGTGGAGGCCGGGAGGCCCATGTGGTTCCCCGTGGTCTCCTGTGACCCCACCGTCACCGTAAAGAGTTCGTCCCGCCTACCCGCTCCGTTCCTACGTTGTCCGGTGACGTTTCTGCGAGCTGGACTCTCTCTCTCTCTCTCTCTCTCTCTCTCTCTCTCTCCTACTGCCACTATATAGTCTTGCGACTGCTGGTAGTCCTGGTCGCCGAAGCAAATAACACTTAAAGCTGTCGCTCTCCGCCATGACTCAGTCCTGTATCCGACTCTCCAACCATGTCACTGCCACCCATCCTCGCAAGTTCCGTCGTTCAACCACTGGGTGCAGGAACTTCCTCTCTCCTTCCGTTGCTGTTCCTAAAGAGTTGAGCAGGAAGAACGACGCTCCACACACGCCTCCTCCTCCTCCCCCTACTCCACGACCGCCGAAAGCTCCTGCGGAGCACCCGACTCCCATTTCTACTGTCGCCCCTTTTAACCCGGTGCAGATAGTTGTCGCTCGTACCATCGACGCCATAGAAAGCGGCATCATTGTCGAGCTGGAAAAGAGACGGCCTCTCCCTCGGTCCGCAGACCCCGCGGTGCAGATCTCCGGGAACTTCGCACCAGTTCCCGAGTCGCTGCCCGAGTATGGCATCGAAGTGGTTGGCCGTATCCCGCCGGATCTTCATGGCGTGTATCTACGAAACGGTGCCAACCCGATGTTCACGCCGACCGGCGGGCATCACCTCTTTGATGGAGACGGCATGATTCACGCGGTCACGCTCTCGGGTCCGACGGAGGCATCTTACGCCTGCCGGTTCACCCGCACGAGCCGCCTGTCGCAGGAGGCAGCCATCGGCCGGGCTGTCTTCCCCAAGGCCATTGGGGAGCTCCACGGGCACACGGGGATTGCTCGGCTCGCTTTCTTCGGCCTCCGAGCTGCTGCCGGAATTGTCGATCTCACAAAGGGAAGCGGCGTGGCTAATGCTGGGCTCACGTACTTCGGCGGCCGCCTTTTGGCCATGTCAGAGAACGACCTCCCGTACCACGTACGTCTCACCCCGGATGGCGACCTCGAGACAGCCGGACGGTTCGACTTCTCCGGCCAGCTCAACTCAACGATGATCGCACACCCAAAGATCGACCCCTTGACAGGGGAACTGTTTGCACTGAGCTACGACGTCGCCCGCAAACCTTACTTGAAGTACTTTCACGTCGACTCCAAATCCGGTAAGAAGTCTGCCGACGTGGCCATCAACCTCAAGCAACCAACGATGATCCATGACTTTGCGATCACTGAGAATTACGCCATAATTCCCGACCAACAAGTCGTGTTCGATCTAAAGCAGATGCTGCATGGCCGCTCGCCAGTCCAGTGCGACGGCCGGAAGACACCGAGGTTCGGTGTGCTCCCCAGGTACGACGATGACGTGTCAAGGATCCAATGGATCGACGTGCCCGGCTGTTTCTGCTTCCATCTGTGGAACGCGTGGGAGGAACCTTCTTGCGGCGGCGATGGACGAACTGTGGTGATCATCGGGTCGTGCATGTCGCCGCCGGACGCGATATTCTCGGACGAGGACGACTCGCGGCCGACGCGCAGCGTACTATCGGAGATCCGGCTGGACCTGGGGACCGGACAATCGAGCCGGAGGGAGATCGCGAACGGAATGAACCTGGAGGCGGGTCAAGTGAACCGTGACCGACTCGGGAGGAGGACCCGGTTCGCGTACCTTGCGATGGCGGAGCCATGGCCCAGGTGCAGCGGGGTGGCGAAGGTGGACCTGGAGACGGGAGAAGTGAGGCGGTTCGAGTACGGACATGGCCGGTTCGGGGGAGAGCCGACGTTCATCCCCGCCCGGCGCGGGTCAGAGGAGGACGACGGCCACGTGGTGGGGTTCGTCCGCGACGAGCGGAGGGGCGAGTCGGAGCTGGTGATCGTGAACGGGTCGACAATGGAGCTGGAGGCGACGGTGAGGATGCCGTCGAGGGTGCCGTATGGGTTCCATGGCACGTTTGTGAGGGCGGATGAGCTGCGCGGGCAAAAGTAGGGTCGGGTTCGCCGGCTCAATCAACAAGACGGTCCACGAAAACCGAACCGTCTCGAGATGTCGACATGGTTGTGGTAATCAGCTGCCCGTAGTTTGTTATGGGAGTCATACATGGCCCTGTACTTGGATGGTTAGATTTAGGAGCTTCATGTATACAGTTCTTGTGTCAACGGAATATTGACTATGTTTAATATAAATTTTACGTAGCCTTTTTTAAGTTCAGTCTCGTGCATAGAATTATATATATACTTTATATTATTAAATTTTAATCACATTTATTTTTTATGCAAAAATTAAAATTTTAGTCTAATTGTCCCCGAAGAAATTAGGCAAATGTGAAGAAATGCATAGGTCATGATCAAACTGATTGCCTAATTTTAGTGGCCTAATCAGGCTAACTGACCTATTGCCGGTGTGGTCAGGGATCAAATGATCAGGATGGTCGTTTAGGCAAATGTGAAGAAATGCATAGGTCAAGACGATCAAATTTTCAAACCGATTGCATAGGTCAGGACGATCAAATTGATTGCAATTGATTGCCTAATTAGGCTCAGTTTATAAAAATTAGGTAACATATAAAAATTAAAATTAGGCAAGTGATTGTACTTACAGAAATTAGGTAAGTGAAGAAATACAAACCGATTTATAGTGGTTTGATCGTCTTGACCTATATTCATTTTTAATTCATCTTCCCTTGAGGCGATCGATTTTCACTATCGATCTTTTTTCCAATAAATGAAGGTCAACTACCTTTGTTACAACTCTTCTCTTTTTAACAAGTATAGAAGAAAACCTCTACACTCACTCTTTTACAAGATACCTTATATTGTATAACTTCAAATCATCTTTTAAACTCAAGAAGGAGGAAGAGACTCAAACAATACTTAAAAAGAGAGTTTACAACACTTTTGTGTTCATGAATTAGTGCTTCATCAAGCAAGTATGAGTGAGGTATTTATAGACCCCAAAAGATTTTAAGAATGAAGCTAACAATTCAAATCCCTAAAATTTTGAGATACTGGCAGTACTTTCGCTGGCGTCGTGCGATACTACCACCGTCATGGGGCCAAGAATCAAGGCTCTAGTAGTATCACCGTCGGCCTAGGTGGTACTATCGTTGCCCTGGATAGTACTACCGTTAGAATGGATGGTACTATTATAAAAAAGGTACAAATAATTCTTTTCGGCTAACTCAGGCAATACTACCGCTTGGGCCTGATAGTACCACCTCTCAAGCCTATTTTAGGTCACTGATGACAGGCCAAATTCGGCTTTGGTTCAAACCCAATGGGTTTCTTAATAAGTTGGCATGGTATATACTAAATCAATTTGACCTAAAAAGACCTCGATCAAAACTTTACAAATTCAACCATATATCCGACATAATTACGAAGCTTTCGGCATTTCATCATATCATTTGATCATCCAATACTTTGTCCAAACCTCCAACACATCGTTCTTTCTTTCGATTTATCGCCCGACCTATCGACATATCAACTTTCCCACAATATATGATCTTTTGGTGTAATACCTAATCCTTCTAGCATGATACCCGAACTCAAAGCACAAAGTCCAATCTTTGGCATGTCGACCAATTCTCCAATTTGACGTTCAATTTCTAACATGATATTTTTTTGACCCAATGTTTGATTATCTTGCTTCGACCATTTGCCCTTTGATGGTTCGAGTCTGTGATCAAAATATTTCTTACATCACTTATCTCAAAAATATATCAGTCTATGAATTTATCAATTGATTTTATTTTCAGATTTAACGGATTGAGAAAAAATGACTAGAGAATAGTCCTACATTGTTAAATATTAAAAGAGACAGATTATATATATTTGAGTTTAACCCATGATCTAATAGCTTAAGTTTTTGGATTAAATTGATTTCATATATGTTAACCTTGAACATTGACTCACTCGTCATTAATGGATCTAAGTAAACAAAAAAAAAATATTGATAAATGAAAAAAGAAAAAAATGAGGATGATTTTAAAATAAGAGAAAGAAAAATAAGAATGATTTAAATATATATTTGAATGTAGTCCATAAACTAATAACTTAAGTTTTTGAATTGAATTGATGTCTGACACTATATATATATATATA